TCGGTACTGTGTGCTTCACTTGCTGCTGTCAGGAGTGCACAGTGTCTTTCTTAAATTACTATTCGTAACACTTCACTATGTCATCAGTAGTTCTAATTACTTCCGCGATATTGCATTCTGCGCACTCTTGCATTGTTCAAATCATAACAGGAACGCTGAAGTTTTCCTTACAACCCGTAAAGGTTTGACATGATTTCAGGACATCATTTCAGTATCACTGCAACGAATTTTCCATTTCCTTACGCCGCATCCCTGCTTAGCGCGTACACCACTGTACCAACCACACTCGCCACCGTTACCACTCGCGACATTCGCCTCGACTATTTCCCACCACCTCGCCCGTCGCACCCTAACCGCACGGCTCGGCTGGTAACTCGCGCTTCGGACCTCTGCCTCGATACTTCCCAACCTCAGCCCCAGCCCCAGTCCCAGGCCCGTCGCGCGTCACCCACAGTTCGTTACCGTTACCACTGTGGCCTTCGCTGTTTAGTTCTCGCTCATGACTTCGCTCACTTGTACTCTTGCTTCGATAGTGCAATACTCGTTCGTTCACTCAATTGCACTCGTAACACTTGGTATTCAGAGCCTTCGATCTCTTCTCGGACCGCACCCACACCTTCGTTTCCCCAGTAATTCATTTTTTTGGGGGGGGGGGGGGGGGGGGGGGGGGTAGACGTCTCTCAACGAAACAAGCACCGCCATTCCTAGTGCTCTCTCGTAAGCACGCACGGCCACGACAGAGGCTCTCGCTGAGCTTGCCCGACACCTCCGCCATGGCCGAATTCACTCGACCGTCTCGTGCGCCAAATCGAAGACTCGGCGCTCGAAATTGCGACACTCACAGCGGAACATGACTCCGCTCGTCAGCAAGCCACGGTGAATGCTCCAGCGCCACCACACGCACCTGCAAATGCACCCGCACAATCGGAGGAGCCGATCGTCATTTCATCAGGCGCAAAACAACAGCGTGGGACAACGCTCAGGCGCAGCGAGTGATGGCGCCGCTCAATCGATGCCTGGCATGGAGAGGAACAGAGCCACGCCAAGCCCGCAGGAGCCTCGCGAAGCCCGTCAGCACGTGGAGTTTGCGGCGACAAGTGGCGACCACGCTATCATGGCACCGATGCCACTCAATCCGCAGCGCTCGCCCTGTATCGACCCGAGCCAGCGTGGAGGTCCGACGGTTCAGTCGTGGGTCTTCATGATGAACGTCTTTTTTTACGCAAACTACGTCGAGTCGGGCGCAGCGAAGATCCGATATGCCATCTCGCTGCTGAGGGGCCCGCCATGGACTGGTGGCGAGTCATTGTGACGTCGCCACGCGCCTATGAGCCACCGTCGCAAGAGGAAGGGTCCACGGGAATAGTTGTCACCTGGAGTTCATTCTGCAAAACCGCCCAATACAGCACGTCGACTGCGTACTTGGCGGCATCTCGGATCGGTTCAAGACTATACGAGCGGTTTCCTTGCATTATGCAAGCAAGTCGACTACATGCACGAAGCAGAGCGGGTGGACCGTTACGTCGGAGGGCTGAAGCCGGACATCTCGCACGAAGTCATGCTACGCGGACTCTCGAATTTCAACGAGATTCTCGCGCTCGCCGAGAAAATCGACATTTTATGCCATCCGAGACCGAGGTCCTACTACGGGCATCGCCCTCGGGGACCAATCAAGCATGCCACTGTACATGCTGTTGCGACAAATGCAGCTGTCGCGCCGTTTAAGGGGCGCTGCTTTGCTTGCAATAGGCCGGGCCATCGCAAGAGTGAGTGCCCAGAGGAGCTGAGGCGCTGCGGAGCAGAGCAGGGGAGGGAGTCCTTAAGGCAAAGAAACGCCAGCAGTCAGTAGGAATCGGGCCAACTACTGACGAGATTGCCTGCTCGCCCAACCCCACCGACCCTCACCGAGTCACAGTACCGATTCACGCCATCGATCGGGCTCGGACGAATAAGGAGGGTACAGCGACGGATTGCCCAGTACTGATCCACGGGAAAATACAGGGAGCAGCAGTGAAGTTTTTATCAATGGAGGAGCAAGTCACAGTTTAGTTAATAACGCGACCGCACGGAAATTGCAACTGACACTTAGCCGGTGTTTACCGGAGATAGATGCACGTTTAGTTGACGGCACGCCGCTGGCCATACGGGAGAAGGTGGAAAAGGTAAAAATCCGCTACGGGGGGAACTTCGGGTTTACACAGGAAATGCTCGCGACGATAATGGATGGGCATGACACTTTACTAGGACGGGATTGGCTGCGACGGTGTAACCCGCGAATTGACTGGACGACGGGTAGCTGCACTGTGCGATGTAGCGGTAACTGGGTTGAACTACCTCGCTGGCAGTCGCCTGAGTCATCAACGGTCCACATCAATGCCATCACCATGAAACGGGCTGTCGCCGCTGGAGCTGATGTATACGAAGTGCACATCGCAGTGGTAGAGGAAGCAGGGCAACCGAGCGATTTCAAGAAACTGCTGGCAGCTGTACCACCCGAACTACAGGAACTGTTGAAACGGTACCCGGGAATTTTTCCCGACGACTTACCGGAGGGACTGCCACCTCCCGCTAACTGACCTACTGCGAAAGGGGGTAGAGTTTACGTGGGGAGAAAAAGAGCATGTTGCCTTCGCTGCCCTGAAAAATGTTCTCTGCACACCACCCGTCCTGCGCATTGCAGATCCCCACCGTCCTTTCGAGATCGTTACGGACGCAAGCGACATCGCCATCGGAGCAGTCCTGTTACAGGATTTCGGCAACGGCCTCCAACCCATCGCGTACGAATCACGGAAGCTGCACCCGTCCGAGAAAAATTACCCGATACACGACCGCGAAATGCTCGCGATTGTGCACGCCTTCAAAGTGTGGCGCTGCTACTTGACCGGAGCCGACGTGACAGTACGGACAGATCACAAGTCACTACAGTACCTTCGCGCACAGCCCAACCTCAACCCACAACAGATTCGCTGGCTCGATTTCCTCGAGTCAAACTTTCACTACACGGTCACCTACAAAAAAGGAGCCTCCAACATCGCCGACGCACTGACCCGCCCCACTGCACAAATTCATGCTATACTACTCGCCCAGACCAGCCCGCTACTGACAGGACTATTTACCCACAGATATCAAATAGACCCGTTCTTCACAGGAGGAAATTCGCAGCAGTTTGCAGCCGCAAAAAGGATCTATTACGTAAAAACCGGCACCGACCGCATCTGGGTGCCAGGGTACACTCTATTAAGGGAGCTGTTACTACAGGAGGCACACGACGGGGTTACCTCAGGACATTTCAGGGTAGAAAAGACGCGGCAGCAACTGCAGCGGTACTACTACTGGCCAGAGATGTTGACCGACGTGCAACGCCACGTGGCTTCGTGTCCCACCTGCCAAATCATGAAGTCGTCACGACAGCGGCCGGCAGGACAGTTGCAGCCGATACCACCCCCAGAGCGTGTTTGGCAGCAGGTGACGATGGGCTTCGTCACGGGGTTACCGGCTGGGGCAAGTGGGAACGATGCGATCCTGGTCGTCGTCGATCGACTCACGAAATGGCGCATTTTGCAGCCTGCAAGAAATCCATCTCAGCCGAAGAAACAGCTCGGCTCTTCATCACCACCGTGATACCAGCAGCTATCATTAGCGACAGAGATACGAAATTCACCAGCAATTTTTTGCGGAACCTGTGGCAGTAGTTCGGCACGCGACTACAGTTCAGTTCTTCGTACCACCCCGAGACAGACGGACAGACAGAACGGACAAACCAGACCATGGAGCAGCTTATCCGAGCCACGTGTGACGATCCAAGCACGTGGGAACAGCAACTACCACTCATTGAGTTCGCGTACAACAACTCGCCATCCGCCACGACCCAACAGTCGCCATTTTACCTGAACTGCGGACAAGACCACACAGTACCTATGACCCCGAATCCCGACAACCCCGTACCACATGCACAGCAGTTCGCCGAAATCTTACAGGCAGCATGGACCCGGGCAGCAGACGCAATAAAAAAATCAAACGTAATCGCTAAACGCAACGCCGATCGCCACCGCCGTCCTGTCACGTACAAGCCCGACGACTTAGTTTTAATCGACACTCAAAACCTCCGACTGCCCATTACCCCAAAACTCCGCCCCCGATATTGTGGGCCATTCCGCATTAGCCACATGATCACCCCCGTTACCGCCCACCTCCTCCTCCCCGCTGACTAGTACGTCAGCCCGTCATTCCACGTCAGCCTCCTACGCCCTTACGTACCATCCACAAGCCAACTGCCCCGCCACCGACCAGCCAACATGACACGACCACCCACCGAGCCAGTAATTACACTTGAGAAGATTCTAAGCCATCGCGTTCGTGACCCACGTGGAGCACGCAGGATCGAGTTCCTGATCCGATGAAAAGACCGCACCCCAACTGAAGACAATTGGGTTCCCCTGGACAGGATCGAAAACCACACTGTCCTCGCTGACTATCTGCACAGCTGCAATTTCCGGGACGTACACGCACTCTCGTAAGGAGGGCCTCCTTGGGGAGGGGGGTAGTGTAAGGAATTTTCCATTTCCTTACGCCGCATCCCTACTTAGCGCGTACACCACTGTACCAACCACACTCGCCACCGTTACCACTCGCGACATTCGCCTCGACTATTTCCCGCCACCTCGCCCGTCGCACCCTAACCGCACGGCTCGGCTGGTAACCCGCGCTCCTGACCTCCGCCTTGATGTCCCAACCCCAGTCCCAGGCGGCCAGGCCCGTCGCGCGTCACCCACAGTTCGTTACCGTTACCACTGTGGCCTTCGATATTTAGTTCTCGCTCATGCCTTCGCTCACTTGTACTCTTGCTTCGATAGTGCAATACTCGTTCGTTCACTCAATTGCACTCGTAACAATCACTCATTATTCCGCATTCAGCACTCGTTCGAATTTACATCTAAATTTTACATCAAAGCACTCAACATAACAGCCGCCAGGCAGTAAGGCTACGACCACTCGCGCACATGCCCCGCCAGCTGTCGCCGCGATGGCTGCTGCCGCGCTGGCAGCCGCTGCTGATCTATCGGGCCGTGCTGCCTGCGCTGCAAGGAACCGCGCACGTCGCAGTGGACTGCGACTGGGCGCGCTACTGGCGGCGCGCGTCCGGGGCGATGGACGGCGAGGCACGGGCGGAGGGCGGCGACGGGGACGCGCGGTCACGAGGACGGGTAGACGAGGTGGAGGGCCGTGGAAAGCGGCAGGATTCAGTTCGGGGACGGGGAGTCGTCGCGAGTGGAAGAGGGGCGGCGGTAGACGCGGGTAGAGGGCAAGGGGGGTGCGAGGAGCTCAGTTCCATGGGCCACGGCCCGCAGCACTTCCCCCCGTGCTCCTCTGCGCATGGCGTGCAGCCGTGCGCGCTCCGCTCCCCGCGATACACGCGCGTCGCGCTACCACACGTGCTGCGGGAGGGCGGGCTGCAGCACGTGCTGCAACGCGTGGGGCTGTGGCCTGCGCCCTCCCCGCACCATCGCCTTCCGCCAGGCTTCCCCCCACCCCTCGACCGTGACGATGCGCGCATGTACCCGGGTACGGCTCTCGCTGCACCTCTCCGCCCTCCTCTCAATCCCACACCGCACCTTGTTGCTCCACCCCTCTCATGCCTTCCCACCACATCCTCGCCGCCTTCTCCCCCTGCCCTCCCCCTGCCCTCCCCCTACCCCCTGTGGCGGCCAGGCAGGTGTGGGTGTGGCGGTGTCGGGCGGAGTGGACAGCATGGCACTCGCGCTCACTGCCGCGCGCATGCAGCGCGCACAGCAGGGGGAGGGGGGAGGGGGGGTGCGCCTGGTGGCGATGGTTGTGGACCACGCTCTCAGGCCGGGCAGTGCACATGAAGCCATGCGCACCCTCGCATGCCTTGAGCACCTAGGTGCGCCACCATGAGGCGACGGGAGAGGACGGCGCGCGGGCCCCCAGGGCGCCGCGGCGAGGCGACGGGAGGGGGCGACGCGCGGGCCCCCAAGGCGCCGCGACGAGGCGACGGGAGGGGGCGGCGCCCGGGCCCCCAAAGTGCCGCGACGAGGCGACGGGAGAGGACGGCGCGCGGGCCCCCGGGGGTGCTTCGACGGGGCAGGTAACCGCCGCGCGCCTCGGGGCGCACGGCGGGCAGAAAACCGCCGCGTGCCCCGAGCGCTCGGCGAGCAGAAAACCGCCATGCGCCAGGAGCGCGTGGCGGGAAGAAAAAAACGTCGCGCGCCATGGGGCGCGCGACAGTCAGGACAGCAGCGGAAGCTAACGGTGGGCCCACAGGCTAGGAGCGTGACCGCTTTGATAGCATGTCAGAGATAGCAGGCAGAAAGTTAGAACAGTGAAGAGGGTTTGCACTAGCAGCAGTTGAGATATATGTAGGAAACCCTAATTGGGTTGTACTCGCTATAGAGTACCCCACTGCAGGCTAGACAAACTACACATTCTGACACACCGAAGCCTCAACCTCTGGCACGTCGGCTCCCTTGCATCCCGTAGCCGCTGCTGCCGTCGTCTCCACTCCTCGGTTGGCGGCAACGGAAATCCTCCTCCAGAATCTTTGTCCGCACCCACTCGAGTGTCCACGAGCTCTGGTTCTGCGGCAGGCTCAGTCCGCTCGTGAATTGAAGCCACGATTTTGGCAGCAGCGAGAGCATCTTCAAGCACTTGGTCTGCTCCGGGTAGGTGATTCCTGCAGTCGCCAACTTCGCGTAGAGGTCGCGCATCTTGTCCAGGACAGGTTGCACCGGCTCTCCCTCGCTCAGGCGCAACGCGGACAGCTCCCTCTCCAGCATCAACGTTGCAACAACGGAGGTCGGGGCGTGCAGCTCCTTCAACACGGTCCACGCCTTCGGACCGCACTCAACCTCCGGCAGCAGGTGCATGACGTGGTGACGCTGGTTCAGCTCCAAACTCTGCGACATCAAATAGTAGCCAGCCGAGGAGCGCTCGTCCCAATCTTCCTGCAGCGTGGGGTCACTCGGTCTAGGCTCCTCCCCAATCATTAGTTTCAGCAATCCAATCTGACAAAAATATAGTTGCATTTTCCAGGCCCAATCATCATAGCCCTCACCATTTAACTTCTCGATTGTGAAATTCTTCAGCACCTCCTTGACCAGCGAGCCCTGGTTTGTTCGCGCTCCCCTTGGCACTGAAACACCAAAATCTTGGCTGCCGCTACGATCTTGGGCTGAGGATTTACCAGCTCCTGTCGAGGTGTTGCCCGCCATAGCTACCTATAACGAGGATCACTATAACGCAGCTCTAATACCAGCTTGTTGGTGTAAGGGCCTAATAAACTCAAGCTACTAAGACTTAATCAAACTTAAAACCTCTCCTCGGGGTCACCTCCAAGGGTCCTTGGGTGCCTGGTCAAGACCAGCCCCTATCCTCGGGTCCGAGTTTGTAGAGAGAGGAGTCAAGAATAACTTAGCCAAAATAACAAGGGTACCTTGAATGCCGCGCAGCGTATCGTGCAGAACGTCGATCGGATTAAGCTGAGAATTTCCTATATCGAAGCTCGCTTCAAGAGCTTTAAAATGAACCAAGTTGCCTCGCGAAAATTTTTGCCATTACGAAGTTATGGCTCGGACAGCGTTGGCCTAGCGTCATACCCATTCATCGCCGTTTTCGTTTCCTATGGGAGCTCCGTCAGATAGAGTCCTTCGCGAACTGCTTCACTTGCTGCGATGCTGCTTCTGCTGACAAAAGGGCGATGAGCTCCTGCTTCTGTGACTTCCAAGAGATGGTTCTTGCAGGCTCAAGTTTGAAAATGAAGCCTGTGCGGGACCTCCTGTTATCTGCATCCCCACCATGATCAGCGTCCACATAGTCAGTAAGCTGTAGGTTGGCAGTTAAGTTCACTTTGTAGGTGAGGCCGATATCAGGTGTAGAGACGAAATATTGTAGGGCGTGTTGCAGGCCCGCCCTATTCTCCCCTTCAGGTCGGTGCAGGTACTAGGCGAGCTGGCTGGCGATGTATGATAGGTCCGGGAGGCATGTGACGGCGGCGAAGAATAGACACTCGAGCTTCTGCTGGTAGAGGCGATGGTTGGCAGCGGAGAGGGGGGTGGTGTCGGGCTTGTGGTTAGGAGGAGTGCGAAACGAGGTGGTGATGCCCACGGAGGCGATACCGAACTTCTTGGCAAGAGTCTCGGCGTATTTCGCGGCAAAGAGGTGGATTGTGTCGGCTGTCTGGGTGATGTTGAGGCCGAGGAATTGGGTGACGTCGTGGTTGATGGTCACCGCGAGCTTTTCTTTGATGTCGCGTTCAAAACAATCAGGCAGCTCCGCGTTGTCTCCGGGGTAAAGCAAGTCGTCCACGTAAGCGACGAGCAAGATGAAGTTATCGCGGGTCTCAAGGTGGTACATCCCCTGGTCGTGAGGAAGCTGCTGGAAGGCGAGTTTGATGAGCACGGTGTGGAGGTACTGCTACCAGAGGTGTGGTGCCTGCTTGATCCCGTAGAGGGACTTCTGTAGGAGGCAGATAGTGTCGCCATTCTCCTCGAAAGCATCCGGCTGTTCAACGTAGATGACCGCATTGACGACCACGTAGAGAAACGCGTTTGAAACGTCGATCTTGCGCAGGGGGTGATGCTCCATGGCTGCGACGCAGAGAAGGACTCGCACGGAGGTGTGACGACCGACAGGTGCAAACGTCTTATCGTAGTCCACGAACTACCCATCGTGCCTTGTACTTGTGGATGGCGCCATCCGCGAGCGCTTTGATCCCGGAGACCCATTACCTGTGAGGATTATCCTCCCCTTTGCGTGTCGTCGTGGTACCAGCTTCCAGGTTCCGTGCATTTGGAGTGCAGCGACTTTTGCGGCCATGGCTGTTCTCCATTTCTTAGCATCGGGCGCGCTCAATGCTTGGTGAACACTGGTGGGTTCAACCAGTTGCTGGTTCCGCGGATGGTGACTGCGAGGCCGAGGACGCGAAGTCCGGTGAGGTTGGATTCAGCTGCATTTGTAACTTCGACCACGTAGTCCTCATCGCCAGGAATGTCACGAAAGGTGGACCATTGGGATAAAAGGGCTTTGTTTGTGTAGCGAGTCCGTGCGCCCGTTACTGAGTGCCTCAGTAAGGAATTAGGAAAATTCCATACACTACCCCCCCCTTTAAGAAAGCTGGTCAACATCAGGCACGCGTCGGGGGGAAAGATAATCCCGTAATACGGAGTGGCCTTGTAGTGAGTCAGCGGGACCCACGTGTCATCTTCGCTTGTGCGATCCACCGAACGTAGGAGGAAATCGACGTGGCGTCCAGCCGGGGTCGCACTGATGCGATGATTCAGAATCTTCCAGGGCTGCAGTGTCGGGTCTGCCACAGGCCGAACACTTGGCGCGATGTACGAGAAGAATCGCAAGCAGAGTCTTCCTCCATTGGTGAGTGCATTTCTGCACTTGCATAATCATGTCGTGCATGTACTGATTCGTGTTGATTAGTGTCTGTTGGGAAAAAGGTTGCTGTGCCGAGCTCTTCCGTAGCAGGTACAAGTGTTGCCTCGTCTCCAGTTGGCTCGTCTGGCCGTTCGCCTGTCACGTCGACTTCGTCCTCATCTTTAGCGTAGCTATGCTGTCCCTGGAAGATTGTTCTCTGGTGTGTTCTGTGCAGTGCGTGTTGGTGCAACCCTACGGTTTGCACTCGGCTTGTTGTCCGTGTGCGTGAATGTGTGTGTGTATGGAATGGTATGAGGGCATGGGATAATATATATTTCATGCTTATAATTGTGTGTGAATGTTGAGTCATGATGTCGAGTGTGTGTGTCGAGTCAATAGCGAGTTATCGCTAGACGCGTATTACGCGGTCGTTTGTGTCTCGCGCGCGGTTTCTATTTTGTCGTGCGCGGTTTCTATTTTTTCCTGTGTCGAACGTTCGGCGTGTCGCAGGTGTGTGCAGCAGACCCATCAAGAACTCAAGGATGAGTTTGTGATGAAGAGCCCGAGCCTTGGTGTCAAGCCTCAAGTGATTTCGAAGCTTGCCAAAAGGGTACACCTCAAGATATTGAAGATAGTTACATTACTTTGTGTAGTGTAACATTTCACTTGGTGTAGGCCCTAGTGAAGGGTAGGTTCGAGACCCTTCGTGGTTGGGGACAGTGTGGCACTGTTCCACATCACTGTACCTCGGCTCTTGGGGTTTGTAGGAGCTGGGAGTCATTCCCAACTCGTAACTCTTCCTATCTTGTGTTCTAAGACTATAGTGGCTGCCATAGTACCATTCGTTCAAACCGACGCTGTGTCGTCAATTTTTTATCAAATAGTGCAATCTAAATTGATAATTGTAGACGACGTGAAGACGCTCCAGATCCAATTTGAATAAAGTCATTTGCAGCTGTGAGCAGAACGCTATCAACGTTTGAAGCCGCTGTGCAGAAATCCGTCTGTGCTCTCTATCTTTCGTTTTAGGCACATTCAAGCCTATTGTGACTATAACAAGTGGTATCAGAGCCCCTTGGAGCAGTTTCGACAATGTCTGGACCTGAGGAAAGGGGTGGCAGAGGTGCTGGTGGCAGTGGAGAAGCTCAAGCTCAAGGCCAACCCCGTGATTCAGCCATGGCGCCCATGCAACCAAGTCTTGGCCCACCTAGGGATGAGCCTAGGGTGTTTGGGCTTGACAAGTTCAACGGTGACAACTTTTCTGAATGGTCCTTCAAGATGGAGAACATCCTTGACCACTATGACCTGCTGGAGGTGATGGAAGGAACGGAGAAGCGCCCCGAGAACGACCCGGAGAAGAGCCCGTGGGTGCGGAAGAGCGCACAAGGCTATCTCTTACTTGGGCAAGCGTTGGGGAGCAGTCAGATCCGTCACATCAAGCCATTCCAGCGTGAACCAGAGAAAGGACCAAAGGCATGGGCTGCTCTCAAGGGTGTACATGCTCCTGCAACAGCGGCGGTAGCGGTGGTGTTGGA